TCAGATGACATAAAATATAAATTTTACACAAACTTCTCTAAACTTCTTCGAAAAGTCAGGCTCTCTGATATAGTAATTATGGCTGGTGATTTTAACGCTCAAGTAAGTACACTCAGCGAAGAGGAAAAAACACCATGGTGCACCTTATACTGTCGTGGCTAACAGAACAGATAATGGTGACCGTCTGCTGAAGCCATGCTCAGATAACCGCCTATTCCTGTCAGACACCAACTGTAAGCATAAGGTAAAACACCTTTTGATCTGGCGACTTTCGAAGCCGAGCCAACGATGAACTCAACTAGATCACATCGCTATGAGCTTTCGGTGGAGAGGCTCTGTTGAAAACTGCCGCTCATTCTGCAGCACTTGTTTAGACTCAGACCTGGCTCTAGTGCGAACGCCTATTTGTTTGCGGCTCACTGGACTGAGGAAAAATATCGCAAGGAAACCTCTAAGGGCCCTACTTAATGAGAGTAAACCTAAAAACATATTGCGGGAACAACTAGAGAAACAGTTCGGACGTGGATGTATAGACCACATCTTCACACTACGACAGGTCCTGGAACACAGACACACATTTAGACGTCCTACTATAGTTGTTTTCCTGGACCTAAAAGCGGCATTTGACTCTGTGGATCGTGAGGTTTTGTATCAGAGTCTGTCATTGAAAGATGTACCAAAGAAGTACATTAACCTTATACAAGCTCTCTACTCGAACACCCTCCGTCGAGTGAGAGCTTATGGCGAACTGTCATCGGAATTCTTTACTTCAAGTGGTATACGTCAGGGGTGTCCACTCTCCCCATTCTTGTTCAATTTCGTCATAGACATGCTCCTAGAAATAACCCTATCCTCGTCTGAATTTTCAGGAGTAGACCTATTACTAGGTGGCTCGTTTATTGACTTAGAATATGCCGATGACATAGTCCTACTTGGTGAAGACTCTGACAAAATGCAGAGTCTTCTGACTACCCTAAGCAACAATGCCAGCATGTTCGGGATGCGGTTTTCCCCCTCGAAATGCAAAAGGTCGCTTCAAGATTGACTTGCAATGATACCTAAACTAGTGATAGGGAGTGAAGCAGTCGACCGATACACTTATCTGGAGATTCTCATCAGTGCCGATGGAACTGTGACTGACGAAATCTCGGCACAGATACAGAAAGCTTGATTGGCTTTTGCCAACTTGTTTCACTTATAGCGTAGGCGAGATATCCGTTTGCTGAATAAAGGACGACTGTTCTGCGCAGTAGTTCGCTCGGCCCTAATTTATGACTGTGAAACGTTGCCGGTAAGAGTAGTGGATATTCGCAGGTTGCTAGTATTTGACCATAGGTGTCGCCAAAGCATTACTAGTGTATCATGGGACAAACGAGTAAGCAACGCTTTAGTACAGAAACGGGTACTACGTAAGGATGGCAGGTCAATAGATGAAGTATTGAAACTTGATCAGTTGAGGAGGTTGGGACATGTGTTACGTATGCCTAACGACCGACTGTCTAGTCGAAATATGTTTTGCGATATAGGAATGGGTTGGACGAAAGCTAGGGAAGGCCAGGCCAAAACACAATAGAAATCCATGAAGTCACTGACAAGTGGACTGAGTCATGTCGGTAGGTGTCGACTACCTGGTTGGGGTCCGTGAGAATATAATAATTGATGGTTAAAGACCCTGAATGACATGGCTCAATGGCGTAGGTGCATTCATTCTTTGTGTTCTCTGAAAGCCTAAACTTCTGAATTCTTCATCACTTTATCTTTATTTCACTAGATTCTACTTCTTGAATAATATATTCAAACCCTAATCTTTCCGATTACTCCTAGTACTTCTACTCCCTCTACGATTATAGTATTTGAATTGACAATTACATGTCTGTGCTCAGGTGGTATGGCAACATGAACTAATGTACGTACGTACAAAGTTCTACGTTGCTGTTAATTGATTGATAAAGTTATTCTTACAATAATCGTTTTAAACCATACTGTACAGCGTCCATCGTATAAGGTTACTCGAAACATAGAACTATGCTCTTGTATATTATGTGAAATACTTACGGCTATCAAGTCAGTTTTTCACACCCAGAGTGCACTTGTAGACAACAAACGGATTTTTACAACACTAAACAAATCGCTTAACTTTGCTGATGGATGTAGCGAGTACATGTTATTTGCATTCATCAGAATTATTCTTTTAATAGGCATTGAAACAAAATGTTTTGTCATCTAGAGTTACTACCGAAACATACTTTTGCACTGCATATATAACTTGACAACTCTTTTTTAGAATTTCCAAACATAATGGCAATGTGCAATAACTGAAAACATCAACGTATATGTGAATGAATAAGAAACAACGGAATTAGATGAATTCACTTCACTATATGGTAAACTCTACTCCACCTTGGTCTAAGTCTTTAGAAATATTTCACCTCGTTGCTAACATAGAGCACTAAACCTTCTCATGGAAACTCTGTGAAGATCAACAGTACCAACCGCGAGTAGATGGAAAAGGTTGCGTAGAAACAACTTATTGAGTTTTAAGACCACTGGTCAATCTCATATTGCAAGCTACAAGTCAGAACCCAGGCTGCTCAATTTCACACCCACCATTTTCTCCTAAACTGGAGGTCTCTGAACTGACTAAATATACACCCAGAGAGCACTACTTACCATGAGAAGACATATGAGTTTTTATTGGTCTGTTATTTGCGAACTTGTTTCTATAGATTGCCTTGGGTCCAAACGTCAGCAACTAGCTCCCATTACGTTCATATTTATTCAAAAGGATTTCGGAAAAAAGTACCGACGGTTTGGAAAGAAGTCAACATCAGTGAGAGGCCAAAGGAACATCTTAAGTATAAGAACTATAAAGGCATCACACTACTATCTGTTCAAGATAAAGTTTTCTAGAGTGTAGCTTAACTGGCTGAAAGGTCCAGCAGGCATCCAACATAGGAATCAACAAGCTGATTTTCTGAGGGACCAACTATTTATCGGCCGAATGATGACATTTTGGAGAATCAATTAAACAAAACCCATTATTTTAAATCAACCTCCTTGGCCGCTTCCAACTTTTTCGCTTTCTTCCATTTTCTGACTGGTTCATGAAGAGGTGCACTTCTCAGGAATAGTAAACAACACACTGAACTTGGCCTTGCTTTCGTGCACACAGCAACAAATACAGACGAAGACAACTAGTATGATAGCGGCTTCCTCAAAATACGAGACTATGAATACTTGACACCAACTGCGAAGAGTTTAGGACAAAGTCGTTCGGAGACCCCTGATTGACAGCTAGCGCCCGTGTAGGTAAGAGGCTTAAATGACTGATTTTTTAAGGCTTCGAAGGCATGTTCGCAACTAGAAGGATAGGTTCATACTTCAGGAAGACCTGACTGTATTTTGTTAGTAGGTTATCTCATCTAATTTTCAGAGATTTCGCTTAATTAACTTGAAAACTTCTGAGAATACCTGAAGACAAACATCCAAACCAGTACATGGTTCGAAGTCCAATAAATCATAGATCTATCTACTTAAGTTGGTGAACAGAAGTGACTTGTAAAATAGTAACTTGTCCTTGTATCCTCAAAACACTTGTTTGTGTTCACTTCTAATGCAAACCAATAAAGGAATAGTCTAAAGTATAAAAAGCGACAAAACAAGCTTGATTGAATGCTTATTTTCAATTTCTCGAGTATAATCAATTCGTTGGACTTAATACCCTCCGAAGTGGTTCGAACAGCTTGTAGTAAGTCATTCAATTCAGCGAGGAATGATTGATAAGGTCAAAAGACAAGTGGGACAAGTCATGTGAGCTAGACATTGAATGACTCACTACAAGCTAACCAGTTCTTTAACAGACTCAGCGTTTGCTGAAGGACTCCACATGGTACTGAACACGTTGCTCTACTCGTTTTCACACAGCTACAGGCAAGCAACGGTGGCGAATTATTAGATACGGATACTCTCTTAAACGAGGGCTTCTTTAATTCTCTATACAACCATTCAGCGATTGACCTTAAAGTAGGTAAAGCGTGCTGTTCGGAGAATTATTATAGTACTGAAGTCTCAGTGGATTTTACATACTAACTGAAAAAGGCTTGTCTAAAAATCCGAGCATGCACCTCATACCACAGATATTCCTTTGCAAGTAGTGTTCGGTTAAAAGCGTAAAGGGATACTGAACGATGAGAATAAAATGGTGATGCAATTCATCATGATAGAGATAATACTTAACCAAGTACAACCATCCACAAGCCGGACAGATCGTACACGACAAATAGTCCGCCAAGTCTACCCAATAAAATTACTGCTTACGCAAGTCATATGGTTTCGAAGAATATATAGATAGTGGAATAATCTAACGCAATACGAATAACCCCAATGCAACTAGAACGTCGGTAAGACACAAGGATGAACTCACATTTGATGTGCACAGTACAAATTTGTATTGTATTATTAAATCAGATTTAAACACAATGTACAATATTCAATTGTACAATAAACGTATTTACCATTCCTCACACAATAGTATGTACTTAACTAGATATGACATACCAACTAAAAGAGAGTTCAGTACACAAATAAACCAGAATCTCTAGTTATCTTAGATGACAGGAATCAAATAAAAGTGATACATGAATCGGTATATTTTTTCATCAGCTCATCACGATTATAACTATTTTTATACTGAGCCATATTTACTATATTTATAACTGATCGTGCTAATACTGACTATAAAAAGAATACCAACGCTAAGCAACTGAGGTTTAACAGTCAGTCAGTCAGTTACAACGTAGAACTTCGTAAGTACGAACATCAGTTCAGGTTGTCATACCACATAAGCACAGAGACGTCATTGTCAGTTCAAATCCAATAGTGGTAGAGATAATAGAAGAATTAGCAATAATGGAGAAGATTAGGGTTCGAACACATGATTCGAGAAGTATAATTCATTGAAATAAATTAAAAAAGAGAAAGATTGAGGTGATGAGGAATTCAGAAGATTAGAATTTGTGAAAACACTAAGAGTGGATGCACCTGCGCCATTGTAAATTGACGTTTTACATCCAAAGACAAAACTTCTTCTAGTTAACGCTAATACAAAGTTACCATTACCTACTTGTGATACAACAACAAGGAATTTATTAATCTCTTGCGTAGTATACTACAGGGAATCGGATGTTAAGACTACGCATTATGTCCTGTAGATTTCGTTCCGAATTATGCACACTTTCCATTAACAGGTTAGATAAAGAGAACTGCCACATGAATTTTCTATATAAGTAAAATAAGTATTGGAAATAGGAGAAATCGTACCCTTATACTGTAGCACAAAACTAAAATCATTAAGAGTCTTAGCGAACATGATGATCTAAAGAAGTCATAAAATTCAGATTACAATGTTATTCAAAATATTTCATGGAAAATAACTAATGAGATCTTCACAAAATCTCCAATATGTGTATCAATTAATGGGCAATAGTAGGTTATGCAAAATATCAAGCACATATATTACAATGATCTTCTGCAGAAGTAGTTGGAATGTATTTTGCAGAATAACTAAGTGTTTGAAAATAATATAACTTAATTACTAATTGACACAATCAAAAATTTATCCTGTTTAAATTAGTTATTGGAAAAAAAAATAAAGAAACAATAAGAAAAACATCACTTGAAATCACTTGAGAAATATGGATAGTGAGTTAGTGAGGATTTAAGACAAAAATAAATTATGAAAATATGAAATGATCTATAATGCTTCCTTACATTTAGGATTCAGAATAAGGTGTGCTGGAGTTAATATCTGCACTGTCGACTGATAAAAACTGGTCAGTTAAAAATGAATTACTTCGTGATGTATGACAAATCCCACTGTCTTCATTTTCTTCCTTACTTCCACAACGCACCGGACTGATTTCTGATTCAAGATCCATCGTCTGTAGCAAACAGGGATTAGTGATATTCTAGGTAAAAAAAATTCAACATAAACTAAGTTCTTATTTTAAGAGACATCACTAATAGTCAATTTGATCAGAGCATAACATCATAAAAATAGTAAAAATGTTTGAACACGTACAAGTCAATCTTTAGAATGACTAATTTATAAAGTATGTTACTAAATCACTATTGAGTGATCCAGTAGTGTCTCATACTTTGAAATCGGAAAGTGGAATGTTCCAAAACTTTTGTGAAAATGAATATCGATATAAAAAGTAATTTCGAAAAGCATAAAGTAGAACAAAAATCAAGTGCATTATTTGTCAAAGACTTGTATCATCATAACTACACTGAGCCAAAAGTCAATGGACTTGAGAGGAGTGGTAGTTCTATCAGTTTATTAAAAATATACTTGAATCGTAGGGGATGCAAATCTGTAAAATTCAGAAAAATGATGAGCCATATCATGAAAAACAGCTGATAATATTAGTCAAAAACTGTGGAAAGTTAGAAGAAATAAACTGAATGTGAAAGAGTTTCGTTCTCTGAGGTCACAGAACGAAACTCCATCCTAATCATTCATCAAAGCTACAAATTTTCTCCACCATCTTAGAAACAAATTGAAAAAAGTGACTTGTCGATAACTAACGAGACCTTAACTGTTTATTACAAGGTTGCAGGTAAGAGGGCCTTTATCAGTGATATGGGTTTTGAGACGTACATTTCACCCCTTGGTACTCAACCACTGAATAATTATGTAAAACGGATCATAAATGAGAAACCATAAGTATGTTCAAAATCGGACTGGAGTTAAATGAAGATGTAGATTTATGATGATTATGTGGATTCAATAATGAAGTTTATAATAACACTACACTTATTAAATACATAATAATTTAAGTCAAGAAAAACAGCAGTTGAGTTAGGGAATACAAGTTGAAGGCAATTTGGTTGAGTGGTTGAATTTCCATCCTAAATCGAACGTAAACTCATGAAATTATTCATCCGATGATTGCAACTTACTCAAACGAAGGTCCACAAAGCTTGATAATGAAATTTTCACAACATACCTAGGGTAGTTAATATTTACAGTTGGAACTATAATATTATCAACACCCTCACAAAAATGTGCTATTACCGAAATTGAAAACAACGATGATACATGTCAGATTAAACGAATAATATAATAATCACATGATAAAACTTGATCAAAAAACAACAACAACCAGACAAGTGTTTAATAGTACAAATACAACGGATTGGATGAGAATAAAATGAATGGACTACAATCATCATCAACATGAATAAAACTAAAACTAATGAACTGAATAGTTTACATGAAACTGCCAAATACAAAATTTAAAAAAAAAACGATTCCATCTGATGATTTGTTGACATTCACTAAATATATATATATAAATGTACCTAGTATATGAATCAATGAAATGAATTAAAATAGCACTAGATAAAAACTGAAGATTTTATATCTAATTAAGATAAGATAAAATATTATATGATAAACCAAAATAAAATGATCTTAAATTATAAATTACTATGATTTTTCCAAGAATCTACGAACACATTGCCTGATAGTAAAACAATATGATCGGATGTAACTCATTCACCAATATAAGGTTTGTGATAGTTTTATGTTAGAACCAGGCATTACTATCCTTCTGTTCGGATTGAAACACTTGCATCTGGTCACGAAATTGCGAACCAGGTAGATCAACTTGGATCATGTACAAATAGTGACAAAAATATAATCAACATTCTGTGCAGTGTGTAGATCAATGGATTTATAAACAACTAAAATACTAGTTGAAATGGATTCAGTGTTGTAATGGGATGAATAAATTAATGTTCAGTAAACGAACACTGATTACTTTGCCAATTAAATGCTAATTATAGATAACTTGACTAACTGAGGACAATAATTATACCATCTTAGATGATTTTACTTAGAAGACTGAGTTTTGTACAAGCTAATCACAACTGATGCTAAAAGATAATTTAAGCTGCAACACGAACTGACCCAAGATATTTCGTATGATTTGTGTAGTGCTCTAAGCAATCAGCAATGAGACCTTGCTATTTTCGGTTTGAACGACAAAATATTATTGATATCTGGATTGATTGTAAACCATTCAACCACACAACAATTAAGCCTTAAACTATTGTTGAAATAAAACTGGAACCCGGTTAACAACTAGGTATATATAATGAACTCACCAAAGCACCAGTTCAATAGGTTGGAAGCATGAAGCCTTCATAGATAGATTACAACTCATGTGATCTTTTCAATATACAAAGCTACTTAGCACATAAATCTAATTTAAACGAAGGTATAAATTAAGTATCAAGTAGTCCAGAGATTGTTTTATAAGCAAAGTCTCATTGTTTACAAACAGTTTGTTTACCAACAAGTAATACAAAACTGATTTTATAAGCCGTAGATATTTTATACGATGACAACCTTGACCTATTTTTCGATATCGTAAAACATAAATTCTATAATACAATTGACGCCTGATCAGTTAAAAAATTAAATTAACCTACCTTTTGAAGTGAGTAAGAAAGTAATTCTAAACCACAATCTCTGGCTGTTGGTAACTCAAACGAATTTAATCGTAAAATCAAGCCACTCAAACTATCAGCTCCCTTCCAAAAAATTGAATTTATCATTGAAACAACTGGATGACTTTTTGTAGAAAATCGGTGAGAACTCTTCTTTGTAGATGAATCTGAATCTAGGGATATTGGTATCGTTTCACCAACCGAAGCTTGTTCCGTTTCAAGATACCGATGAGACTTTCTTAACAGATCCAATAAACTCAACAAGTAATAAGTACCAATATGAGATTGCTCTAAAGCCTCTAAGCATCTGATAAAAAAAATACCGAAATCAACAAATATATGATGAACGGCAAACAAATGGTGTATGAAAACGATTGAAATCGAAATAGCCTACGAAATACTATGAATCAAATTATAATCAAATCTCATAATTATATTACATAAATAAACGTAGGATTATCTCTCTCTACATACACACTACGCCAATCATGTTCCCTGCCATTGTTGATATCATTATTTTCATCGATTAGTTTAGTCTCCTGTTGACATTTATCTGCTATGCAGTAACAATATAGATCAAAAACAGATTTGTGCTTTATTAGTTATTCCCTGTTTTTATCCGCATTCAGAAAATAATCGATTTCGGTATTTCAATTGTTCTTTATTTGTTGACCTATGAGCTGCGGATTTAATTTATTTCATTTTTTTTCTTTTGATTCAAAAAACTATGCTTAAAATCATCCGCAAACATCTAATTATCACGTTCATCTGATCAGATTGAAGACTGTTTTGAATATGTGAAACCAGATCATCCACATCATAAATTATGTGGCAACAACAAAACAAAGATGAACCACAGAAATACTGAATTTATGAGATCTTGAATATAACGCGAAAACCTAGTTTGAGACATACTTACTTACACCTGTTACCCCCAATGAAGCATAGGCCGAACACCAGTTTTCTCCAACCAACTCTGTCCTGGGCTTCCCTTTCCAGTTCTATCTGATTTTTGTTCAATCTTCTGATATCTTTATCTATTTCTCGGCGTAATGTGTTCCTTGCAATTCCTCTATTCCTTGTGACCTTGAGGGTTCAATGTGGGGGTTTCTCTTGTGAAGCAGTTGGAAGCTTTCCGCAGTATGTGTCATATCCACTTCCACCACTTCTTCCTGATTTCCTCCTCCACTCGAATCTGGTTTGTTCTCTCCCACAGTACGTTGTTGCTGATGGTGTCTGGCCAACGAATCCGAAGTATTTTGCGTAGACAACTGTTCATAAATACTTGTATCTTTTGGATGATGGCTTTCGTAGTTCTCCGAGTTTCCACTCCATACAGTAGAACTGTCTTTACATTTGTATTGAAAACCCTGATTTTGGTGTTGGTTGAAAGTTGTTTGGAGTTCCAGATATTTTTCAATTGTAGAAACTCAGCACTTGCTTTGCCGATCCGCGCCCTCACATCTGCATCGGATCCACCTTAGTTGTGATCCGGTGAAAATCCGTGTAGCTTTGTGAATGCGCTTGTGTGAGAATATTGTGCTACCGATGATCAGTTTGTTGAAGGCACTATGGTTTGCGAACCTCTCACCGTTTTCGTTCCTTTCTCCCAGTCCGTGTCGTCCGATGATGTCTTCATATCCAGTGCTGTCCATGCCAACATTGGCATTTAAATCTCCCATCAGAATGGTCAAATCCTTTGGTGAGCATCTAACGACGATTGACTGCAGCCTTTCGTAGAATTGATCTTTAACGTCGTCATTGTAGTCATTGGTACGTGCATAACATTGGATGACGTTCATTGTAATGTCCTGTTTCTTTGTTTTGAAGGATGCTTTAATGATCCTGGGTCCATGAGATTCCCATCCTATCAGTGCCTTTCGTGCATGTTTGGACAGCAGCAGTGCAACTCCTTGTGTATGTGAAGCATTTTCCTCTTCATGACCAGAGTATAACAGCAGTTCCCCTGAAGCTAGTCTCAGTTGTCCTACCTGTGTCCAATGCGTTTCACTGATTCCAAGCACCTCGAGGTTGTATCGTTTCATTTCTGCCGCAGTTTGAAATAGTCTTCCAGTCTCCCACAATGTACGAACGTTCCATGTACCTAAAAGAATGGTTGCTCTGGTTTTCAGAAGGGGCATCGGAGCCGTGACTTCCGAGGGAACTCGGCTTTCATCACGCAACTCCCGGGGCGGAGTTAAAAAGGTTTGAATTATTTCTTCTGGTTAGCGTTTTTTGGAAATTTAGTTTTTAGTTGAGATGGGGGCGCCAACCCCATGCCCAACCCCTTGCTCCTTTATCCGGGCTTGGGACCGGCAGCAGCCCCGAAGGGTCTACAGGAGGAATTAGTTTGAGAGACATACTTTGAACAGAATAGGCACTGATGATGGCAAAGTGAAAATATAGCTCCGCTTATATAACCAAATTTTCAACCTTTTAAGTATCCATTATAGTGAAAAAAGAATGAGACAAAGATTTTGTATACTAAGAAGCGAGTTTTGCACGCAGAAAAAACGCAAAACGATACATTAATTATCATGACGACTGATTACCTGGAAACTACATATATAAGAAATCTAACTTGTAACCTGAGAGGAAATCCAACCAGTTTGAAACTAAATGAGCAAACAGATGATCCATACATCCAAAGATGACTTTGAATACAATTTAAATATGATTGTGGAACTTTTGTGCAATCTCTGATAAGTGAATTCAATGAAGAAGGAAACGAAGAGTTAATCGCCCTATATAATTCATTTCGACATGTACAGCAATGAGCTACATTTAAACCGATCCCAGAGCCATGAATTGACCTTTTAGGTGTACAACTGATAGATTTAGATAATTTAACCGGTTGAATAATTGAACTTGTTGCAGAAGAGTGGTAGTGATTATGATCTGAATCATTACGTGTTTTACTGGATACAAAGGAATCACAACTATACAAACGACGAATCCGTGGAGAGTTTCTTGGTTTCGTTCGATAAATATTTGAAAATTCTCTGGGAGTTTGATGTATACGACAAGCAATAAAACCTGATAAAAGAAGAAATTTTTCAATTTAGAATAAATGTAACTGAGCTGATTTAATGGTATTTACAATAATAAGCCCAATTATTTCGGACGTAAAAATCGAATATAAGTTTTGGAAAACTATGAGACTTTATTAACTCACAAATACTAAAACAACAATACATATTCAGAGTAATTTCTTTTGTTAAAAAGATAATAGGTTGTACATACTTTGACAGTAACATCTATGATATGACAATGAAAATGAAAAATTTAGTCCAGTTAATATTTCTAGTAACATAAAACTGGTTCGGATAATGAAATAGAATTGAAAAAATACAGATAATTAAATAAGAAAAATACGAAGTCGAAAAGAATCAGCTGTCGAGAATTCAGTGACAATGAATACTAGGAACTATATATAAATACAATACTGACAAAAATTGAAGTCCAGATATTAAAGGTGTGGGGCCCAGAATATTGGTGATGGTCATTTTGCGAGAGCACGAATAAATACCGACTATAACTGTGACAATCTTAGTTGTCAAATGTTGGAACAATTACATACAGACTAAGGATCAAAAAATTAAATTTATAATCGAAGTTACTCAAGTGGTTGAATGATTATTTATCTTTCCTGCATAAATAGTCAGAAGCATGATTGTCGACAAATATGTACCAATGGTCACTTGCCAAAAATGAGAGTCTGATAACGTTTATTTATTTAATCAAGAAATTAGTAAAAAATTTTATTGTTGTCTAATTATCAAACATAGATGTTCTGAAAGGGAGCTAATACAGGAAGTCTTTTGTGATTTATTTGTACGAACAATTTTTACAGGTCACATAATAGGACAGGAAAAATCATGTCATACTTTTATTGCCTACCTACTGTGTGTATAATTATATGATTGAATGCGTATCTGCACCTTAAATCTTTATCTATTGTCTGATTGGTTGTATCCACAGACAATCAATACACATAATAACACTCATAAAATATTTATACATGCTCACACATTTTGCTCCCTCACCAACTCAATATCTGGTGTGCTTGTCTATCGAGTGTTTTATGGACTCTGAAAATTTGTGGTGTAGTAGTAGGTTGGAAGAAAGTTAGGGGTGGCCAGACCAAAACATGGCACAAATCCATGAAGTCACTGACAACTGGACTGGGTCATTTTGGTAGATGTAGACTACCTGGTTGGGGTCCGCGAGACGAAAGTCACCAATGGTTAGAGACCTTGAACGACATGGCTCAGAATCGTTTGCAATGGCGGAAGTGTATCCATTCATTGTGCTCTCTCAAATCCTAATCTTCTGGAATCGTTAGCTCCTTTACCTTTGTCTTTCTAACCTTATTTCACTGAGTTATACTTCTTGAATAATATCTTCAAACCCTAGTCTTCATCATTACCATTAATACCTCTACTATCTTTATCACTATGGGATTTGATTTGATATTTGCGTCTCTGTGCTAATGTGGTATGGCAACATGAACATACGTTCGAAGTTCTCCGTTGCAACTGACTAACTGATACAAATGAATAGGAAACAGCGTCGTTCATTGGCACTAAAGCTGAAGTTCGAAATTAGGTGTTTGTACAGTGTTTCGTTATTAAAGCACAGTAACGTGAGGAACCATTCGGCTTATATTCGCTGTTTCCTGAAACTCGTAAGTATAGTGTTTTACACCCATTATTGGTGAGCTAAGTTTGAACACAAAACGGACTAATAAGAGGCGCATATCCTCTGAAATTTATCTCACAAGCCCGCCTGGCTCTGAGTGCAATGGGGAGCGGAGTCAGCTTAGGCGCAGTCTGATAAAAAGCCTACGTAATGATCAGGAACAGTGGTGGGTAAAGAAAGCAATAGAGATGGAAAAGGCAGCAGAGATAGGCAACAGTAGGCGACTATTCAGACTCATCAAGGAAACAGGTATTAGGAACCCGAATAAGAGTGAGAGTTTCGAGAAAGGATGGCCTTACTATTCATTCTCAATTCAGGAGAAGCCTTCCTTGTAGATTCATTTATATCTATATAGTGTTACGTAATTTGGTAGCATTTATTCATAAAACTTCTTTGCAGTACAAAATTTATTTTTAGTACCTAGAAACTAACCGCTTCTTTGAAGCCGTTATAACAACAAGTACCATTGCGACACAACAGACTTACCACGTGTAATTAGAAATCGTAACGCATCATCATAACCCTGGTTGGCTAAGTTAACCAACTGATCAGGAGACATTGGCCACACCATCCCCACTAAACGTTTAATATTTGTTAAATTGAAGCTCATTGTAAGATTTAGTAATGAGATTGAACCTAACACATCTTCATACTTTTGTGGTTGAGCTCTATGATACTGTGGGCCCCATTTCGATTCAAGTGGACATATATCGGAATCACCAGCAAATGGACTAACTTTTATAGTTTGATGGTTTATGTTAAGTAGATTATCTGATAAACCACCATCAACTACAAGCTGAAAAATCGATAAATCAACGTAATCAAAGATTATCATTAGAATATACCGTGAATAATAGTATCTCAAATTTATTGTAATAAGAATCGTCACTACTCGTAATGATCAAAATTAAACTGTAATTGGATTTATTTTATCCGAACAGAATGATAACGCTAATTTATGCAGAAGTTTAGATTTTTACTTTGGTGGATACGATGTTCCAAAAATTCTTGATATATTTATCAGTAATTCCTTCAATTATAAATACATAAAAATAGTTTAGAAGACCGGTTTACTGTTATCTATTTAAACACAAAAAAATCGGTGCGAAGGAGCACCTAAATATTTATACGCTACACAAATCAATGAATTTCTGTATAAGCTGGGATAACGAACAATTGCTATAAGTCAAACTTTATTTAACATTTCGCTCGTAACTTTCGGAACGGAACTTTTCGAACGCCATGTAAAATGATAACCAAAACAACCACAATACAGATAAACGAGATAAGCTACTCATGCTTACGAACCATACATACTTGTAAGTCAGAATTTGAGCAGTCACCGTTTGAACGAGTCGTGTTAATATCCACATTAAAAAGATTATAAGCGGAAAATCGGCACCTCACAAGCTTGTTTTTAGTGTAAGTATGCCAAACAAAAGGGATGTATTAGGCGATTAACCTGTCATCAATCAAATACATATGTTATTTAGTCAGGTTTACCTAAAACGTAACGCTTGTGATAAAGCAAATAAGGAACATGATTTACTTCATACATGAGGTAATATCTACCAGAAATCTGTATCAATTTAAGCTACTCCAACAAATATCAACAGGGAGAGAAAATTACCAGGACGATAAGTCAGGCTGAAGTAATTATACCAGCATCAATGGAAAACAACGTGAAAGAAGTGAGATAGAAATAAAAGATCAGTAGGAATACGAATTTCAAAAAAAAGCATGAATCTACAACATACATATTTTAAGCCGTTACATTTGTTATATCAGGATAAAAACTGAAGTAAATAGTATCTAAGACAACTAATTTATTGACTATTGATGTATCATATCTAACTGTATAGCTACTAATTTATTAAATTATCAGGCATATATATTCATTTTATCATTGGTTTTCTACCAACCCATAAGTTATTATGATACGATTTTGCTGTTCCTATTTTGTTGACAATTGATTATTTACAATCTCTCCTACTTCTTGAATAATATCTTCGAACCCTAATCTTCTCCATTACTGCTGATACTTCTACTATCTCTACCACTATGGGATTTGAACTGACAGTTGCGAATTTGTGCAGATGCGGTATGGCAACCTGAACTTATCTACTGACTGATTGACTGACTCTTCTACCCAGCCAAATCGGCTTACTCTTGCTTATTTATTTTCATTTGTTGGTGTGATGTGGTCTAGTTTTACATGTATATAAGTGAGTGTCTGAAATATGGTAGCAAATCTTGGACTGGTGGTCACTGGTCCCTTTGGTTGGGCAAGTTAGCACTTGGACATCCTTCAAGCATTGAGTGGCAAGTTTTTAACATTGTTGCATATTGCTCACTCAAACGTCACTTGAGTATTGGCTAGCGTAAGGCCACAGAGACATCTACATTTGCCAACAATGCAAGCGTGTTCGGGATGCAGTTCTCCACCTCTAAATGCAAAATATTGCTTCAGCATTGGCTTGCATCGGCACCTGAACTAGTGATAATGAGTGAAGCAGTTGAGTATGTTGACCGCTTCACTTATCTTGGGAATCTCATCAATCCTGATGGCTTGGTATGTAAGGAAGTCTCGGCACGGATACAGAAGGTCGACCTGCTTTTGCCAACTTTTGTCACTTGTGGCGTAGATGAGATATCCGTCTGACAACCAAAGGACGAGTGTATTGCGCAGCAGTTCACTCCATCCTAATTTATGACTGTGAAACGTGGCCGGTAAAAGTAGAGGATATTCGCAGGTTGCTGGTAATCGATCATAGGTGTCTTCGAAGCGTCGCTCCCATAACCTGGGACAATCAAGTAAGCAATGCAGTTGTTAGGAAACGAGTACTAGGTAGGGATGGTAGATCAATTGACGAAGTAGAGTATCTCCACCAGTTGAGGCGGTTGGGACATGTTTTCCGAATGACCAACCACCGACGGACTCAACGGGAGGTGTTTTGTGGCATAGGGGTGGGCTGGAAGAAAGCTAAGGATGGCCAAACCAAAGCATGTCACATACCCATCCAGTCACTGACAAGTTAAATGCGCGATGTTGGTAGGTGTAGACTACCAGGTTGGGGTCCACGAGACCATAGTAACCGATGGTTAGAGACTTTGAATGATACGAAATCGTTTGCAATGGCGCAGATACACCCATTCTTCGTCTTCTCTAATAACCTCACGATCTCGGGACCATTTTTTATTCTTTTAAGTTTATTTCACTGCGAAATAGTTCTCGAATAATACCTTTTATCTCTAATCTTTTAGATTACTGCTAATACTGCTTGAACCTATACTACTGCGGGGTTTGAACTGACAATTACATCTCTGTTTATATGGGGTATGGCAACTTAAATTATTGTACGTACGTACGAAGTTCGACGGTGTAGCTGACTGAACTATACGTTTCGATCATTGAATAGATGCCAAGAAATTTGTATTTATCGAGACCACAGTAGGTGGCCTCACTGGTGTTTATGCTTTCATCTATCCACTTCTCAACTTAATCGAACCGGCTTTCATAGCAGCCAGCAGTTTGCATTGAGGTAGATGGGGGTTATGCAGCATAACACAATCACTAAGTTACTTAAGCGACTAATTTTCAGATTTACCAGTCGTTTAACTTAGTCCCTAGTTCCACTATATGTGAACGGTGTTCCAAATATATTTTGGTCATTTTTAAGGGACGGAAACTAAATATGAGCATTGGTTCAAATAGTCAAACTATATCAGCATAGGGAAATGAAAATTTCAAGACAAATGCTAGACAAGTAGAACTGGTAGAAATTTAACAGTATTAAAAAATATCTCGGCACATAAAGGAAAAGAAAACTCGAACTTCAGGAACGAGAAACTAAGGGAAGATAAAAAGTGAATACATCTCCCCCAATAAGATAGATCTTATGTAATGTCGTTCGGTCTCCAATAATTCGTCATGATGACTGCGCATGCCTTAACCAAGCAGACAGCATCAGACTACATGATTCAGTTTAACAGTGAGTAACTTCGTAGATCGATGTCACATCTTGGTTTGACTGCTCATAGCTTTCTATACACCCTAATCTCATATCAACAAACATTATGTACCGTGGGAGGCCACGGTTGGTCAGAAGCAATATATGTCTCAAACACCTCATTTAATTAAGACTCACTAATTTATCAACTATACAAGCGATGCTCCGAAGGCACCTGTGATAAAATGCTAGTAAATTAAGGATGTTCTTGATTTTTAAGGGCCATGTTTTGCAACCAATAGATTAAGTCACAGTAAGAACATACATAAATTTTATGACATGGGAAATACAAAGCGAACTTCCGCACACCATATTTACCATCTGATTAGCGACAGACTGTTCATTGAATTCACGGGTGATCAAGGCTAAGTGGAATGTTTTGTGTCTGTGACTAGATTCTGTCGGCTACTAGGATACCACAACTGATGACAGTCCCATATGAGGTGGTACACTCACTCAAGAGACGTATTTCATAGAGTTAAACAAGGTTAATATTTTTCATGAAATACATGTTAAAATAAATGCAATACCAGATTGAAATAGAAGTCATGTTTGTAGGTCTTACACTCTTCTTACTATATATCTTCTAATTGTTCAACGGTATCTTTCTCACCATTTATTTTCTAAGTTTATATCTACTGTTGTGAAGTCTTACAACCAAAAGATGGACTTTAGCAAGGTTCATAAATTTCAGAAAATAAAGGCCTGATTGTATTTTATCGATATTTAAGTATCCTCAGAATACTACACATGATCTAACCTATTAGAATTTACAACAATGTAGTTGACATACTCGAAACGCTGTAAATTTTTAAAAAACAGTTTTCTTAGGTACCTCTTTTACATTCTGACCGACAGTGACAGATTTCTAGATTATGTGCATTATGAGAATAAAAGTGTTATGATGTACACATTTCTAAATCGATTTGCCTGAATGACTTCAGTATATGAGTACTCCCAACTTTGGTGATGATAATCTTAAATTCCTCTAATCCGAACTCGTAAAAAACAACCTTGACAAGTTTTGTGTCCTTTGGATATTTAGGAATACAATTGTTCATTTAAAAAATAAAGAACTTACGACATCATGTAAAAAGGGAAATGGCTTACCTGGCCTCTAAACGTTAAGGGAACAAACCCACTGAAAATGGGAATATACGCAGAACAGAGCAAAGCCTACAAAACATTGAAACTGCATTAACGTTACTTTTAGACTTACTTGGATTACCTCGTCTCTATTTTTATACTTATGGACGATTATGTTCTTTCGCGTAGTGAAGCACGTTAATGATATTGAAAGACGATCAGAGCATAAGACATGAGCATCTGGTGGTAATAACTGAGATAAGCCCTCTCTTAAATATTCACTTATTTTATATCGTGGATCGAAGGGTCCAAGCACAAACCGTCTTGTATTTTCAATAATTTTGCAAACATACTGGACACATACATCTATCTAATTTAAATTTTATGTACATGAAAACTTACCCATATCTAAATCACACACTAAGCAAGCTGCGGCTAGAGCACCAGCGCTAGTTCCAGATACTGGTTTATTTTGATATAGATGGGGTGCGAAACGCTTAATACAGCTGCAAACACCTATATGATACAATCCAAGGAAACCGCAGCCAGCAAAAGACAGATTATGTTTGGAGCTTGGGGGATCTCTGTAATATCGATCTTCAATTAAGTCAATGTCTGCGACTGAATACATTTTGTCTACGGTACCGTGACCCAAAAATTTCCATTAACTTCAAGTTCCGCCTAAAATTATATGGAGGTTGAGATTTAGCGAATATAGCATACAAGTTATACACCAACTACCAAATCCCTAAAATTTACTAATAAAAGAAGCTATTGGTTGCCTATACCGTGAATGAGTAGTGATCAAACAGACGTCTACAGTGAATAAATCAGTTGACGAAATGGCTGCATTCCTAACTTATGGTTTCAGCTACGTAACTTCCAGTCTCGATTCTTCAAACTAAATTACAACTCTATTGACACAACAGTAAGTATTGTAAGTTTCTCAAGGACACTGGCAGTGCTAGAAGGTCATCCATAAGCTACGGTCTCCAATATCCAATATCTTTTTCACGAGCTAGTGTGAACCATTTGATTTGTTCGCGCTCTATCAGCAAATAATATGGCGTTTATCAGTTATCAGAGGAGGATTTTGCTAATACACAAGGTAAAATAGTTGTCTAGACTACTTATCAATAGTACATAGACGTCGAAATGTTTTTGTGAAAAGATTAGTCCGTTTAGATTTGGGGTTATAATCACTTCACGATGTAATCTCATCGACTGGGATGATGTAAATCTTTAACTTATTTCGTCTCCGTGTCTATAACAGGTTTGTGTATAAACCAATGAAGCAAGCACTCATGTAATGACCAATCGTAAATCCTCTGCCTCCGTTTACTAGTCTCCTTAATAATTAAAACCAATAAATTAATCAATAATAGGTACATGAAGAGTTGACCAAGACACCTGTATTCCCAACGAGTGGTAATAAAAACCCGGCAGATCACTGTGAAAACTTCTAGACTAACTTGGAAGTGAGAAGTCTTCAGGAAAAAACGCTAACTTGTTTCTATAATGTACATAGACAGTCAAGTAAAAATGATGCTGTATTGGTGAGTGGATTCCATCACATTCAAAATATTAACCCAGAATCGACAGAAACAAGTAGCGCGTATCTTGAATAACCAGGTGGGGAAATTCATATTAATATTCTTTACGTGAATCTATCGATCACAAATTGGGCAAAGATCCAGTGGTAATACAACGTCAGCCTTTGGTTGGTTTACGTCTCGCCAGGAAGTAATTCGTGTGCTGGGGGGCTGTGTGTGCGCATTGAATGGACTTATATTCATTAAGGAAATCAATGGACAGCAGCAAGAAATAAAGGAAGCCTGAGATCCAGACAGACTGATAAACGAAGCTGGGAGTTGTTAGAGTAATGTTTCGCACAGGTTAGAATAGCATCCACGGAAAGAGGTCATCTTTCCATAAAACGTCTGGTGAAATACCTCCATAATATACAATTTTCTGCTGGAACGATCAAATCAATGCAACTTCAGATCTGAACTGAGTTCAGTCTCTGATAACATCTATCCTTCAAGTGACGAAATCGATGCCGTCATAACGATGACTAATACAGGAAGAGTATTTCATGATATTGTAGTGGAACGCTTCAATGAAGAAAATACGATTTGTGAAAAATAAACATCATTGTACTCGTTTTGTTTAACTGTACTAAAAACACTTCCGGCGCGCAGCGTTCTCTTCGCGTTGCTGCCATTTTTCTAAACGCGCTGCTCCCCATGTAATGCCTACTTTCTCCTTCGATTAAATATTGAAACACGGATTTATTTTGATATATGTAACGGGATGATAGGGAACATTTAGTGTTGATTATAGACAAACTGGACTCGGTCATCACTAAAACATTAGGCTGTCGCAACTCCGCCTGTAGAACTTTTAGGGCTACTTCCGGTCCCAAGCCCGAAGAAAGTAGGAGGCTTATGCGTGGGATTGGCTACCCCGTCCCAACTGAAAACTAACTTGCCGAAAAAAACGCTAACCAGAAAAAATAATTCAAACCATTTTAACTCTGCCGTGGGAGTTGGAAGAAGAATTATGACGTCGCGTGATGAAAGCCGAGTCACGGTGCCGATGCCTCTTCTGACAACCAGAGCAACCATTTTTATAGGTACATGGAACGTTCGTACATTGTGGAAGACCGGAAGACTACTCCAAATTGCTGCAGAAATAAAGAGATACAACTTGGAGTTACTTGGAATCAGTGAACCACATTGAACGCAAGTTGAACAACTGAGACTAGCTTCAGGATACCTGCTGTTATACTCTGATCATGAAGAGGAAAACGCTTCACACACTCAAGGACGTGAACTGGTGCTGTCAAAAAATTGCACAAAAGGCACTGATAGGGTGGAATCTCATGGACCAACGATCATTAAAGCATCCTTCAAAACAAAGAAACAGGACATTACAATGAACGTCATCCAATGTTATGCACGTACCAATGACTACAATGACGACGTTAAAGATCAATTCTACGAAAGGCTGCAGTCAATCGTCGTTAGATGCTCACCAAAGGATTTGACCATTCTGATGGGAGATTTAAATGCCAATGTTGGCATGGACAGCACTGGATATGAAGACATCATCGGACGACACGGACTGGGAGAAAGGAACGAAAACGGTGAGAGGTTCGCAAACCATAGTGCCTTCAACAAACTGATCATCGGTAGCACAATATTCTCACACAAGCGCATTCACAAAGCTACACGGATTTTCACCGGATCACAACTAAGGTGGATCCGATGCAGATGTGAGGGCGCGGATCGGCAAAGCAAGTGCTGAGTTTCTACAATTGAAAAATATCTGGAACTCCAAACAACTTTCAACCAACACCAAAATCAGGGTTTTCAATACAAATGTAAAGACAGTTCTACTGTATGGAGTGGAAACTCGGAGAACTACGAAAGCCATCATCCAAAAGATACAAGTATTTATGGACAGTTGTCTACTCAACAACGTACTGTGGGAGAGAACAAACCAGATTCGAGTGGAGGAGGAAATCAGGAAGAAGTGGTGGAAGTGGATATGACACATACTGCGGAAAGCTTCCAACTGCTTCACAAGAGAAACCCTCAATGTCACAAGGAAAAGAGGATTTCCAAGGAACACATTACGCCGAGAAATGGAGAAAGATATGAGAGGAATGAACAAAAATCGGACAGAAGTGCAAAGGAAAGCGCGGGACAGTGTTGGTTGGCGAAAACTGGTGTTCGGCCTATGCTCTATTGAGGGTAACAAGAGTGTCGCGATGATCTTCAGGTTGAGACCATTTCTAAGACCTACCTGAGTAAAGATGCCTACGTAAAAAGGCAGCAAGACTGGGACTAGTAATTCCTTGCACAATAAACTTTCACGGAATATTGGTCTATAACAATAATAAGCTAGACCAAACTGGAAAGTATTTTTTCATCTGATGTATTCACACGCATGGATGTAAATTCTAAGCACCAACAACCGACTCTTCACGAGCAAATCAGGAAGGGGGCATTCCTAATGGACAAAGGCATGGACGCGTCAGTCGGCCTTTTCGCGTGCTTTGAGCGATAGTATGACACATCTCCTGTTTTGTGGCTTTCTGTTTGCAGACTAGCTTATTGTCTGCTCGTCACCCAAATATACGTTGAATTGTATGTCTCCCGTTGAAGTTGAAAATACAAACACAGTAGACTGCTTTTAATATACAACACGTCATTGAAGACATTTATTAACATAAGATGAAATGGCAGTTTAAAAACAATTGGGTAACAGCCAGATGCTCGTACATTTTCACGGTAAGCGCAAAGTTCCACTGTCATTAACGATGATGTGCTAAAACAGTTCCAAGTAGTGAGTTAAGCACCAATAATATGTTATAATTTTTAACTGTGCATGAAGCCAAACACGCTTTCACTACACATACTTCATTCATTGCAAAACAGCACATGTAACTCAAAAAGCCTCATTAAGAATATCTCAGATTAAAACAGCTATTAATAATGACGACGTATCGGAATTTTAGGGTATTCGTTCTATGAATTCCGAAGTAAGAAAACATTTACAGTAATATTTAGCTGCCACATTTCTTTAAATGTCTGCCCACAATAATTGGGACTCATGCTAGTGTTAGCATCTACACGTCAGCCTATAGAACCTCAATGAGAAACTATCATTTTCAATTATTAATAACATTACTAAGAATCGTTTTACAAGGTTTTTGTAGTTTATCCTGCAGGTCGCATAAATATCCTGGCTTCGCGACATCATTCTATTAGGAGAGTTATTTTTCCTTAAAGGGATGACGATTAGAAACTTGACGTCAGTGCCCATAAACAAAAAGAAGAAATTGACATTTACCTTATAAGCAGCTGCAAAATCAGCAGTATGTTATCAAAGTATTATCCATCGTGACCGTCAATATAGATTTTGGGAAGTAAATTAAGAACTCACTGTAGAATCCTTTTTGAATGTTTTGTTTTTTGGAAAATCCCTCCATGATTACATATTTTTGTTATGACATGACGGACTTTTTCTGTTGAAATTTTTGGTATTTTATTTGATTCCAATTTGAGATTTTATCATTGTATATTGTTATTCTTTCTATATTTTGTACTTATATTGAAGTTTTTGTGTTTGCTTCTGATTGTATATATGTTGTTTAAATTTGACCTTTAATATGGCTACAGCCATATTTGGATTGATGCAGTGGCCGCTGGACTTAGCGTCACTTATCTATCGCTGTTTCTGATACTCTTCTGAGTAATTGTATCCTGAAAGGAGCATTAATTCCAGGTAATGCTTTGTATTTCCATGTCTATATTAAATAAGACCGCTTTCTCCTGGAATTTTTGTCCTTTTTGATTTGTTTGGACCTGGGACTGGGAGAATCGAGTACAGGAGTGCACCTATTGGAACCCATTGGAACGGCCACTGTAGAAATTCATTTACACTCACCTTCTCCCCTGGTTAAAACCGTTCGCAACAATCAATGAGCAGAAAAGCGTATTACAGTCTACCCTTCGGGATGAAAATTGACGCCAAGTGAGCGGTTGTATATAAGGCAGTTTAGCTGAGTAATATGACAACGCCGAGGACACGACGTGCGAAGTTTTCTATATTCCACATCTAACATACCGACAGCGATGTTGTCAAGATTTCACATTGCATCCGAGTTGCTTAAAGTATTCTAATCAGTATATTTTAGATACTGAACATACCAGTATTTTACAGCACATCCACTCCAACAAAGAAGTAAAAGTACTCCGAAAAATGGCAATATATTTATGATTTTCTTTAGTCGCCCTCTGTAAGGGGCATTTAGATCATCTTTTGATTCGGATACCATCTCAAACGTTAAGTTGTGACTGATAGAAGCTACGAGCATCTAAAACCTACTATTTTCAATGAGCCTTGTGATATAGGTCTTCAAATCACGAGAGTACTGACGTAAATAAATGACAAACTACCGCTAATGCTGCTTCATGTTTTGGAGCATACGTAGTTACCATGAAA